AAATTTCGACAAAAATTGAGGACAAAAAATCAAACTTCTGCAAATGCGATCAACATGAAACTTTCAGAATCTTATTTTTTCTCCAAAAAATGAAACCTCAGAAAGTTTGAAGCCAATAGGAATCGGTTTACGGGTACCTCTCATACAAAATTGTCGAAGTTTTAGTTAAAGTGACCGATTTTTCACTTTATTTTTATTATTATATTTTCGCTGCCTTTATTTCAAGAAAATTCACAAAAAAACCAAAAGTACCTACAGACAACGCAGGCCATCGGTACGGAAAAGTTCGGGATTACCAATGTAATTCTTTTTATTTAAACTTGATTTCGATCAACCAATCGACTAATTCTCTGCAATCACTTTATAATCCAAGAAAATGTCATGAACTGGCAAATACAGAAAATCTTTTGGTTTCACAATGACGGGTTCTTTTGTGCGTGGATTAACGCTGATTTCGAAATTGCTAACAATTTCTGCAATGGCCGCTTTGATTTTCAACGTTGAATATCGCATACCCAAGCACATTCTTGGTCCATGACCGAATGGAAAGAATTTCCCTTCATCGCGTAGCATTTTCAAATCGACGCCATCGAAACGGTGTGGGTCAAATTCGTGTGGACTGGAAAAGATGTCTGGATCATTGTGAATGGAGTAGATGGGTATTTGAACGACCATTCCCTTTTCAATTGTCAACGGTTTTCCATTATAATTTTCCAACTCGATCGGTTCGGTGCATACTTTGGTAATTGTAAAGCCAGGTGGGCTGATTCGAAGTGTTTCTGCGAAGGAAATTACAACGAAAATTCATATTTATTAGGCCTAAAGAAAGCAAATCATATTAGCGCAGCTGCACCAGAATTCTTACCATTAAACACATGATCCAAATACTCTAAATTGCTAAGCACTTCAAAATCGATATTGCCGTTGCAGTCTCGGATCTCTTGACGTAATTTGGTTTGACAGTGTGGATTTTGTGCCAAGCGATAGAGTGCATGTGTTAGAATGATGCTAGTGGTCTCATATGCGTCAAGAAAGAATGTAATTGTGTTGGACGCCACATCGGTTATACCATAATTGCGTTTTTCTTGTAACCTTAGCAAGAAATTGAGATAATCATCGGGTTTGGTAGCGAGTTGTCGACGCAATTGAACGGCTTCGTTGGTCAGACCGATAAAGTACTTTTCAATTTCTTTGGTCACAAACGGCATTTCATAGTATTTGAATAGGTATGGGAAGACAGATTTGAATGTGATGAACCACAATTTCCAATAAGACGGTGTGAATAGCTTGTGTGATACTTGCAAAAATTCCGAACTATTGTCGGCAATTGCATTTGCCTCGAGACCATATGCCACACTGCATATCACATCGGCCGTGAATTTTACCGTAATCTTTTTGTGTGTGAAACAACAATAATCCATTAGAGAACACATTATCTCGGGTCCAACATCTATTTGATTCAACTTCACTCACCTCTTTTGTATCCATCATCGGTTTACCACTAGCGATTTCGGTTTTGATAAATTTCGTCAAGCGACTACACATCTCTTTCATCACTGGATATGTGAGCCTCGTCTAATGTAGATAAATGGATTTGCTTGAATTGATGAGGTTTAATTAAATTGATTCCCCTTTATTACCTTAGCTGTGGTGAACGCAGGTGAGATGTCAGCTCTGTTATCCTTCCATTCTTCATCGCGCAACACAAATGGGTTTCGTGAGAATAACCGTGCATTTTCTTTATTGTACTGGATTTTGAAATGAACAGAATAATACGCATTTGATTACCTCGATTAAAATTCACTTTGGATTTGGAGTTTTTAAAATTTGCATGAAAATGGGAAAAACATACGTTCGTATAGTTGAGATGAAAATTTTTGAATTTTCCCACAAAAATCTCGTTCACCAAACTTGGATCCAGAATCAACAGCTCAGGCAAGCGATAGCTGAATACTCCAATGAATGGCGCTTTGCCACGGTATTCGCTAAATAATATATTTGTAGTTCAATGTTCATCCATTTTTTTTTTGTATTTTTTTTCTTCAAGAAATCTTTATTTGAATTACAAAAAGATGTTCAATGCTTACCGATAAATTTTATCCTGATCATAAAGGAAATTCTGCAAATAGACGGCTGACTTGGGGAATGTACCAACAAATGGTATTGGTGTTGGTCCGATTACACCGCGATTCTTCCAATAGTCGAAATGCCAAGTTAAATAATAATACAAAATAACCAGCGATGCCACTGCTGTACCCAAAATGGCCAGAAACATTTTGCAACCGTTCTTTTCGCCCGCAATACTGTGCTCAAGTGCTGTAGGATCTGCTACTTTGTGCTCGAATTTGTGCTGAAACAAAGTCTTATCACAAAACTATCATTCTTTTGTCATCAAAAACGCAGGGCATTGATTTGCCACTATCACAAGACAATAAATCAAATAGAACAATGTGAAATTTAACAACAAAAGATAGGCTAGACAATCTCGAGATATTAGTTCTTATCGCATTTTCCACGCATTTCTATACAAACATGAATCCATTGATAAAGCCTGGATTTTTTTGTATTTCTTCACACTTTACGGTAAGTCAAATGAACTGAAGTTGGACCAGTTTTTTCCATCAACTGATAACATTTAGTCAGTTTGCAAGTGAATATTTCAATTCTCAAACAAAAGTAGACGATTACGTCACATCGTTGACAAAGTAAATCCACAATCGCAAATAATAAACATTGTCTTGTCGACGGAATTGATTTCCAGTACACGGCTTATCATTGCATTAAGTAGGCTCAAGCAATCGGTTTCGATTAGTCTTCTTTTAATCAAACCAACAATACAATATTGTTACTTTTTGACAGCATCGAATTTTTACCATTTGTTGGAATCCTAGGGTAATATTTCAAAACACCAATGCCGAGAATTTGGTTCAAATTTGCGAATTAAAACTGTCCCCTAGTTGAAATGTATCCAAACAGAACATACAATCCATTTCAGAAAAAAAAATTAAAAAAACAAACAAACATTCTTCTACACATCTTCATCACATATGTGTCTATACACACACGAAATTACCTATCGTATATATTTCTTTATGGGCGTGGTATTTCTTCCCGCCTATTTTATGTGCAGAAAATGGTGGATTTATTGCGGTCATTATATTTTTCTTTTCTTCTTTTTAATCTCTATTTCATTTGGAAAATATCATACAAAAAATGCAATAGAATGACTGCAATGACTTTCATTGAACGAGAGAAAATATTATGATGGAAAAAAAGGGGGAATCAAAGTCATTTGCTCATCACACCGGTTGTCGTTTCCATGAAAAAAAGTACACCAAGTGTAGAGCTATGTATGCGCCATGTTGACATGGTGTACACCAGGTGTGAGCCTAGATTTGCGCCCAATCCACACCATACACCACCGAAAATATATAAGGTTCGGCGCAAATTGGGCGCAAACTGGTGTGAATTGTCGTTGCAACGTCCATATTGTTTAAAATGATTATGACAGCTCACACCAATTTTCGCCGAGCCTTATATATTTTCGGTGGTGTATGGTGTGGATTGGGCGCAAATCTTGGCACATACATAAGCATGCCAGATCGCCCGGATTTATCCGGGTTTGTATTAAATGAATTCTAACTATTTTTTGTCCCGAAACTTTATTGTTGTGGAGTTCATATGGAGAGAGGAAGTTACAAGGAAGTTTTCTGCCCGATCAGATTTTCCAAAAAAGGTCCTGGAGCCAGGATATGGATTCATGAAAAGGGAAATGGTCATTTTCAGTACATTTTATTTTACGAAAATATTGAATATTTTCCGAGTTTTCCAAGATTTTCCAACCATTTTCATTTTATGGATGTATGATCATTAACTAAAAACGAATTCGTGAAAATTTTCCGGAAAATTTGAAATCCTGGAAAAAAAATTGAAAATGAGGAACATTTTCCAAATCGCCATAGAGGGAAAACGGAAAATCGCGGAAAATTGAGGTATGTCTCATTCGATCGGGCGGAAAATTTTATGGATCTGGCACCCAGAGGGTGAAAAAAACAACCATTTTCCTAGCCGTTTTCGAGATAAAACAGAAAAACGTGAAAAAATCCGGGTTTCGCCCGGGTTTTTGTCCAAATTTTCTGGCATGCTTACACATACATCGCTATGCACCTGGTGTACTTTTTTCATGGGTTGTTGCTTCGTGCATTTCATCATCATTTCAATCCAACATTAAGGCGAAGCGAGCAATAAAATTCCGATTGTGTGTGTGAGAGAGGAAAAAAAAGTAAAATGAAGAAGAAATATCACACAGTATTTACTGAACTGATGCGATCGAAGAAATCAGCTGTCTTACTTAATCGGCCGATATTGTTTTTTTTTTCATCCTCATTCGTCATTTCGTCAACATTTCACACGCCTCTGGTATCGAATTTTAAATTGAATAAATGAAGAAAAAAACCGGAATATTTAATCTAAAAACTGACACATCCTTTTCCATTATTTTTCGATTCAACCGCATGATTCGTCTTTTTTCTTTCGTCGCCCGAAATCTTGGTCGTGCATTTGATTTGTTTTCGCCTAGCATGATGAATTTTCTGCGAATTTTCAGCGAATCAGAGGCGCGCATACAAGTTTACGCTTTGAGAAAACAATGAAAAAAAAAAGATTTATAGCATACTACAATTTTAACGGCATACACACATCGAGAGAGAGAGAGAGAGAGAGAGAGAGAGAGAGAGAGAAAGAGAGAGAGAGAGAAAGAGAGCACCAAAAAAATATACAGAACAAAAACAAAAACGAAATGAAAATGATGCCAACGTGTGAGTTTCAATATAGTCTGGTGAAATCACCACGTGGCTCGAAACGTGTGTTGTATGAACCAAATCGAGTACGAAAAAAAAGAAACCATAATAACGCTGACACCAGGATCGATACGATGCACACCGAAATCGTTCGTACGAATCGGGAGACAGAGCAAAAGAGAGTATGCGAGGGAAAGAGAGCGGCCGAGTGAGTGTGTGCGCGTTTGGCTAAAGCGATTTTCTGTACAAGCAAAGAAGCAGCAGCGTAATCGCAATTCATTTGATCCACGTGCTTTGGCTTAGGATTTTTCACCCATGTAACAAATCGTCGTGTTTTTGTAGTGGTGCTGTTTGGTTTTGTTTTATACATCAGTTTGCTGTTCGGTGTGCCTTCAGTCCTAGCTATGGTTCACAGCAACTCGGCACTAACATATACATCTTTCTCAAACCAATACACGGCCAGCCATAGTTGCGCGCCGTATATGCTGTGTGCAAGCATGCAAAATAAATAGACTCAATCGTTGGAACAAAGAAAACTATAGCGACTCTGAGGTAGAACGATGTGATGTTCATTGAAACGCAGAACGAGAAGAGTGACGTCGCTGTCGTTATCGTTGATCTGTGCAAATGTATGATTGGTGTTTGGGTCTCGGGTACGTGCGTGTTGGTGTCGGTGTATGCGTGTGCTGGTGTGTTGCCGGAAAAGGGTCATTGCGAGAAATCACAAATAAGTCAAAATCGAATTGGTTTAATCAAAGCAGAATCAGAAGTACATTATTTCTGATCGCTCAGTGCTGTTTTTGTTTCATATTTTTTGTCATAGTTTGTAATTATTTTCTATTGCGTTCTTTTTCTATTGAAAATATTCATTGCACTCCACATCGTACCATACGCACACATATAAACGGGAAGCAATAAATAGTCGCCAAAATTCGCGTAAAAAATCGTGAACCAACTTCAGTGAAATCGACGATTCAACAATGGTAAGTTTTCACATCATTCTCTTCACTTCATCATTTTCGCGTGCGCCATAATTCATGTACCTGTATGCAAGTCTCGCACATACACCATGGAATGTCCCAAGCAATGGCAACAACAGCCAAAGCAAAATATAACTGTCATGACGAACGAAACGAACCTCGATTGCAATAATAATCGTTCGAAGAAAACCTCATGCAAAGGTTGCTGCTTATTAACCCATTTTCTACCAAGGTGCAAAAGTGGGTTCGAAATTAGTAACCAATAGTCTATCTAGCATAATTTTCACCTGGAAGCCCAGAAAAAACTGTCATATGGAAAAATTTTGTTTGCAGTTTTTCCGGAAAATGGATTTTCCGGAAAACCATATTTTTGTAGGCTCAAAAACTGATCAATCAAAAACCGTTATCCTTTATTTAAGAATGTTAACTATAAGCCTATTTAGAGTTATTTTGACATGAAGAAATGAAAAAAAAATGTTAGATGGCAAATTCGTCTTGTAGTTTTCCAGAAAAGCCCCGGAAAATTTTTGTTCGATTTTTCGAACATTGGTCATTAGTCCGGTATTCTTTATTATCTCCAAATCCACCCTGGGCTTCCCCAAGTACCTTCTGAACATAGGCCCAGAGGACTTACACATTTTTAAGAATAATATTCAACACTTGCTTTTTGAGTATATGTCTGTTATTGTTGCCTATCTCTAGGTTGAGATATGAATAGGGATGGCCTTTGTTCGAAAAATCGAACGCTGGTAGAAAATGGGTTAATTGTTGATTAATCTGTATGTCGGTGAATTTAGCTAATAAATTTCATGTTCAGTTTCATGTTCTTCACTTCTCTCTCTCTCTCTCTCTCTCTCTCTCTGTGTGTGTGTGTGTGTGTGTGCATATTTTACACTTTTAATCACTTTTCTCGAAAAAAAAACAAAACAAAACGACAAATGCCGATAAGTCTCAATTCATTGTGGTTAATTTACAAAACCAAAATAAATCCAATTCAAAGTCAATTTGATTATCGGAATCACATTTTCATGTCAAAATATTCCATCCAATGGAATTGAAACTGTATGCGATATTGAAATGTTTTCGAGTCAAAAATGAGCATGGGAATCAAACGGAAGTGTTTGCAACCGAGAGATATTTTTGTGATAACATCAGATCGATTTAAAAAAATTCATTGTTTAAGGATATTTCGCATCGATGTTACCACCACCTTCAAATGTTTGACCATCACTGTTGATGTGTTGACGTTTGTGTGCCAGTGTTTGCCTGTTCAAAGTATTCAATTGTCTTCACACCAGCCAAAAATTCAGAAAGCCATCAAGTCAAACTAAAACAAAGCCGATTATCTGACGTGCATTCTACGCTCAACTATAGCTTTGTAGTTGATGCTGTTATTGTTGTTTTTGTTTTTTCTCTCTTTCTCTCTCTCTCTCTGTTCGTTTTTCAATACAATGCTGTGTTTTGAGTTGCTGGTCAACATTTCGTTATAGTTTACACACACACACACCAACACTCGCATTTGCCGTAAATTCAAATTGAACGAAAAGTTTCACTTTTTCTATTTGATCATCGAAGTAAATGGGAATAATTGGGAGACGCCTATGTTGCCTAGACGCATTTATGTAAATGAAGATATACCGCCGATATGATTAACATTGTCACTACACACTTTTGACAATTTAAATTGGGCATGACATTGTTCGAATATCATTTGATCCGCTTATTTGTGGGATTGTCATATGATTCGATTATGATTTCCCAACGACTCATTCTCTGGTGATTCAATTCCACTTTGACCGGCTTTAATTGGCATCGTTGAGGGAGCAAGTTGAAAATGCATTCGGACAATCAAAATTCATAGACGATTGGAGATCATGGTATTTGGCAATCGGAAATCGATCAAATGTTCATAACGCCATGCTCTGAATAAGGTGAGAAAAAAACCAGATGCGTTTCGACCACTTTTGTGTATCTCTCTTGCGTTGACCAAATGCCAATTTCATGCACACAATGTGGCAATCCCAAAAATGCTATATTTGCATCGAATGCCAATAAATGCTATTACTGACGCCATAGATACTTTGATGCTTTCGATTAATTTTCCAAATTACACATGAAATCGACTAAAATGCAATATTCCGCATGCTAAACAATGTCAACATCGGTCCATACACACAGTCATACATACAAACACTTTAGCCAGACGGTCAAATCTCTCTCAATAGCATTTGTTTGGCGAACGACTGGTCAATCGTACGCAATCGCAACACGTCACACGATTATAGATAGATATTGTTGGTTTCTTTTGCATTTGCGCGCGGGCGCTTATGGGCACACGCCATTCTCACACACACACACACACACCGCGTATTCGGTACCGCTCGGACGCCCAAACAATCCAAATCAAGTGTGGACAAATCTCGTAGACATTTACAAAACTTTCATTACATTTTACTAATATACACATCGTCGTCACACATGATTTCTCTTAAAAAGCCGTTCATATTCGCGCGTACAGTTCATCGTCTTTATTTTTCTTCTTCTTTTCTTCAATTTTTGTGTTCTTTTATCCTTCTCATATGGATGCACCTAATATGGATGCACCGCACCGTATTTGCTTGTTTAGACATTTTCACGATAAATTGACTCTCTCATATTTAACACTATGATTGTTCTTGGGGCACCCAGGGCCCCCAGCGAACTTTAAAGTTGAATAAAAGTACTAAACAGTGTATAAACCAACCGGAGTTAAGTCTCATTGTATTGATTGACATATACATATGTGTGAGTATGTGTAAAATACAGCCTGCCGCAAAACATGTTACGCTGTTAGCAGTTTTGTAGACTAGTTTATGTGCTACAACTTCGCCGTAGACATCAAGTCGTTATCTCTTATCAGTTACGCGAAAAGCCGCGAAAACGTGAAAAACGCGAATTTATAGTTTCTCATTTTTCAAGGAACTGATAAGAGATAACGAGATAGTGTCTATTGCAAAGTTGTAGCTCTGGTCGAGTACTACAACTTTAGTACAGACACCAGTCGTTATCCATTATCAGTTACACGAAAAAAATGATAAGAAAAAAATCGCGTTTTTCTCGGTTTTCTGCGGTTTCTCGCGTATTCCGCAAAACTGATAAGATATAGCGAAATAGTGTCTATGGCAAAGTTGTAGTTCTGGTCAAGTACTACAACTTCACTACAGACACCAAGTCGTTATCTTTTATCAGTTACGCGAAAAAATGATAAGAAAAAATTCGCGTTTTTCACGGTTTTCGCGGCTTTTCGCGTAACTGATAAGAGATAACGACTTGATGCTTGTAGCGAAGTTGTAGTACTTAAGCTGCTTTACAACACTTTGGTATAGACACCATCTCGTTATCTCTTATCAGTTTCGCGGAATATGCGAAAAACCGCAGAAAACCGTGAAAAACGCGAATGTTTTCTTATCATTTTTTCGCGTAACTGATACGAGATAACGACTTGGGGTCTGTGGCAAATTATAGTACTTGACCAGAGCTACAACTTTGCTTTGACACCATCTCGTTATCTTTTATCAGTTCCGTGAAAAATGATAAAAAAAACGCGTTTTTTCCCGGTTTTCTGCGGTTTCTCGCGTATTCCGCGAAACTGATAAAAGATAACGACTTGGCATCTTCGGCAAAGTTGTAGAGCAGCTTGAGTACTACAACTTCACCATAGACATCAAGTCGTTATCTCTTATCAGTTACGCGAAAAAACGCGAAAATGGTACGTGGTTTGAATGGTATTGTGGTTTGGCTCCCGTTTCATTGACGATTTCTATCTGGTTGTACAACCGCTGTCCACGGCAACGTGTACGTGAACGGCAACGTGTACGTGCACAACTATGCACCACCAAGCCCTTAAGCACCGTTGTAAGTTTTAATTAGTTCAAAATTTGTTCTTGTCCTGTTTTTGTCCATTGTGATCATTCGTTTTGTAATTGTCGTTGGCCTGTCATGTGAATTATTTGTGCTAGCGTCTTATTTTCAAGTAGCGTCTTATTTTCCGAACGTTGGTGATAGAAATTTTTATTCTTAGAAAATTGGTCGCTGTGCTCTTTTCATATTTTGTTTTTGTCTTTGCTCCGATTCTTGGCTCCTTGGTTTCTTGGTTTTTGTTGATTTCGTCATTGTTGGTGTTGTTGTTGTTCACTTGTTTCCTCATGCACACACGTGCACACTGCACACACGTAAGCTAACACACGTTTTTATTTATGATTCCAGATTCCAACACACAAAGTAGCCATATTTATACATTAAGTCAAGTAGAGAATAAGAGAAGGTATGTCATTTCAATTTCATTTTGGCAAACATTTGCGCTTAACTCATACCATCCATTTTACTCTTTTTTGTTGGTCATTCGTAATCAAAATCGAAACAAACATAAACCAAAAAAAAAACAAATTATCGATTCCAAAGAAAAACGTTTCACATAATTGTCATGTTTTTCCCTTTTCTTTAGTTCATATTGTTTCGTTCTTCTTCTTTGAATGAGAAAAAAAAAGAGTTGAGACAATTCTCCACACAAAAGCAAATAAAATACCCTAGAAATTACCTCCAAATTTTGCCAATATTAATTTTTTTCATTCGTTTTTTTTTTCATTGTTGCTGCAACGCGATGCAAATATTGAACACCGCGACATAATAGGTTTCAATCCGTTGAAAATAGTTGCAACGGAGTTAGAAGCACAAGCCTTATCAGTCGCACAAGACAGCTGCGAATGATGGTGAGCTAGCGTTATCCTTCTGAATCACTATCTCTTCAAATGAAATCCTATCGTAAAAATACCAATGAAACGTTTTAATGTTTCCACAGTTCAATGAATTCAATGAACATGGACACCAAATCGTAACATGAACTACTCCAATGTGGATGCACTGCAATCGCTTCAACAGGGTTTGAATACGAATCCGATGCAAGAGGAGAACCACTACTGAATTTACTGAAAGTACTGAAAACAACTGAATTTTTTTCTTGATACTAAAATGTACTGAAAACCGGTTTTGCAAATAAATTGCCGACCAAGCGGTCATTGCACCATAAATTTGAATATTGTTTAGTTAGTAAGAAATGGAATAAATGCACTTTAGTTGTTATTGACACTTTGGAGTAATCAGTTGTGTTTTATTGACTACCCATTATTAATGCTCAGACATTATTTGTGTTTTACTGACAACTCATATTAATGGTCAAACAGTACTTCAGTGTCAGTTTATGAATAAAAATACTTTGAAAAACATTTGTGTAAAAAAATCCGTTCTTGTTTTGTTTGGTTTTAGTCTTCGTGATTTCAGAGATGCACTGACATTTAAAAGGGTTGATGATACACACATCAATGCCGTAGAAATTTTCATTCGACAAAAATTGCCCGTAATTCTTGCCAATCGGAAGACTCACACAGATGTACAAGTACTAAATGATGAAGATTTCTTTGGTGAAATTTGTGTTCTGGATCCACCTTCATTTGAATTTATGGAAGGAGACGTATTCAAATTGTTGAAAGAACATCAGGTATGTTATAGCGGAGAATCATGCTTTTTGACAAATGTACTAAATTGAATGTTTCCTGTGTCGCCATCTCTGGTTGGTGATACTAATATCTTCTCGCACGGTTCTGATGAAGATTTTATTTATTGTTTATACAATTTTATACAAAATCACTTTTTCATTCATTAACTCAATTCAGAAAAGAAAATCACAGTTATTTCGACAGTCGAGTAACTTTGCATGCAAAATGCCTAAAACATAAGCGTGAAAAAATTGTCATCATCAAGTTTACACGGCACGATCAATTTCAAGTGTTGCAACTTTTTTTTGAAAGAAGCCGAATATTATCTGAAAAAAAAAAACACTAGTACAAAATAATAAATGGCAAATCATTCTTTTGTTTATTTGTGGACATTAATTCCCACATTTTCAATAGAGAGTGAATTTTTTCACACAACTCATAATTTCACAATCACGTGAATAGTACATTTCATTGTTCAATACCGACATTGAACACACCCTAACGTCAGCAATGGTATCTGTCAAACTTTACGCTCTGAAAATTACGCAAACATTTACGATACAACCGAATTGTATAGCCTCAACACCACCTCGGCACGACAAATTTCAAATATTTCGTTAGATCCGTAAAAATGAACTCAAGTATTTGAAAATGGTCGTGCCGAAACGATACAACCGAATTGTATGATGACAATTTTTTTACTCTTATGTTTTAGGCATTTTGCATGCAAAATAACTCGACTGTCGAAATAACTGTGATTTTTTTTTTCCGAATTGAGTTTATGAATGAAAAAGTGATTTTGTATAAAATTGTATAAACAATAAATAAAATCTTCATCAGAACCGTGCGAGACGATATTAGTATCACCAACCAGATGGCGACACAGAAAACATTCAATTTAGTACATCTGTCAAAAAGCACGAAAATCCCTAAGGTTCTTTAATTTTTTTTCTTTGTTCGGACGTTATTGGCACTTCCTTCTCGCCGGGTAATTAATGCCATTCGTCACTTCGTGTCAATCATACCAAAATCTCATTAACATTTCTATTTGTGCTTTCTTTTCGTTAGATACGCATTCGGAGAGTTTGACACTGGCATTGTATATGCATAAGCTGGTTTCATTTACATCGCCAAACACATGGGCTCTGTTGAAAGTGAAAAATTTGACGGTATTTTAACCCGGAATGTAACAGCTGTGCAGCAATGTGCTTGGTGCACTCGTTCAGAATGGATTTTTTTTTATCACATTACGGGTGAGAATGACATAATTGACATCCCGTCGAAAACTGGTGCCAACTAGACAAACTGGTTTTTTTTTCCTCTTCGTCTATGACTATTTTATAGCAAATACTGTTGAAGGGAACCAGCCGAACGAATATTACACTCAAACCGATCTCATTCAAAGCCGTCCTATCGCAAATTTTCCCGATTCACTGAAAGTATTCCAAACGCATACGATTCTGGAGCGAAGCCTTGATTTGCTGGCGAAAGAACAAAATATGTGAAAAATGAAAATCATAACAAACAGCATGAAAGGAACACAATCATTAGCTTTATTGGCCAATCTTATCCACTTATTCCATTTGGAGCCTATTGAAACGGCTACGAAATTCGGTTTTCCCACATTCACGGTAAACAATTGAACAGATTTAGCTTAAATTAAAATTGATGCGTACGCGCGTGTTTGTCTCATGATCATGAATGAATTTTGCTGTTTCAGTTTGTTTGCATGAAGCTGTTGCAAAGTATTCCACATTCAGTCGGACCGAAAGGTGATACATTCTCACAATGGCATGAACAATTAGGATGCTTCTCACCCAGCCCAGATGCACCTCTCAATGAAAATTTGTCACTGATCAAAAGACAACTGTATTTGTTATGGGGTCATCAAACAGTGAAACTGCTTCTAGGTAAGAAACACATTTTGTCTATGAAACTATTCTTGCTCACTCTTCCAATCATTCTTTCAGTTTTCTCTGTCCTTTGTTTGCTTTCTTTTTCTCCCTCGCTCGTTCCAATCTCTTTCCCAGTTTCCCTATAGCAAAATTTAATTGAAAAATTTCATTTAAATAACTCGAATTAATTTAAAAAAAAATTGTAAACCATCTTTCAGGTGACAATTTAAAGGAGTTGAAAATGGGCTACGAGAAAATCGAATATGCATTACCACAACAAGGCTCTGGGAATTCGTTGAAACGTGCCTTGAAGCGAACACAATCGAAATCAACGCAAAGCAAAGCGAGCAAACCGTGGCGCAAACTGGGCTTACCGGAAATATCCAAAGTGGTCATCGTTTGTTCCATGTATCATGCGGCATTGCAAACGCTATTTCAATTGAAATTGGACATTCCATCCGGCCTCTGTTACAATGACAAACTTTTACACGATCTATTTATATACTACCTCGTTAGGCATTAATTGTGGCTTAAAATCGTTCTTAGAACTCCTATCGCTCGCTTCAAACATCTATCCACCGACACTTTTGATGTTATTGCTAATTTGTAATTTAATTACACACTATGTGACGTGAGTCAATCAATCGTAATCGATCTAAAACGTTAAAATCTCACACATTCTCATTTCTGCGATTCACATTCGTCCAAGCACAAAAACAACAACAACCAAACAATCACCACATCAAATGTTAAACATGACTTGTATAGAAAATAAAAAATGATACAATCTGATGCTAAAATGATGAAAAAAATGATCTGGTTTGATTCGACTTCAATCACTGGAATCACACCAATATGTACTAAGAAATTATACGAAAATATTTTTCTTTCTGTAGCTTATAAGAAAAGAGCGAATAAATGCAAAATCGACTGCAATTTATCATACATTTCAGATGCGATGGTCACCAATATGAAGACTATGAAATCAATATACGACGACAATCATAGTATTTGGACTACAACAATCAATTTATCATCGTCATTACGATCATATGCCAATGAAATGATTTCTATTGAAAAGCCGCTGGCGGTGCCATCAAATCGATTATTCGACCATTTTATTGGCTGCCGGCGAAACATTAAGTTTTCCAATTCAAACACCGTGCTTTACATGTTTAAATGATTGAAACTTGCAATTTTGACTACTTTCAGGCGTTGTTGTTGTGTTTTTCAATGCAATTAAGATAGAAACTTTGTGATTACATGTTAGTTCATGAATATTTTCACTAGTTTCGCTCTTGTCACATTCTGTACATTCAGTGTCCATATGAATCAATGTATTTTTGGTTTTTGCTGTCGGATCGCGAGAAGAACAGCATGAAAATTTACAAAAAAAAAAGTTTAATCAGATTTAGTGCCGTTTGCAATTTTGAATAAAATCAAATAATTATTTACTCTTATATTCCACCCAAAAAAGCATCCTTAGCATAGAGTAGTGGCTTCGAACGTTCGTTCGTTCGACAATTTGAAAAAAAAAAAATTTTGGTTTGTTCGTTCGTTCGACATTCATTTTGTTCGATGTTCAACAAAGTTTTTTTTATTTCAAAATCTCTCGAATAAAATTGGTATTACTATGAAAAATTATAATAAAAGCTAAAAAAAGCATGAGCTGTAACGATTACATTATAAATTTGATCAATACATCGAATTTTCTAGTCTGCAAGCGACTCCTTTTTTCAACGAGTTTCAATTCCTGAATTTTCCATCTTTTTCTCTTTGAAGGCTAACTTTTCGAAAGATATTATTTTCAAACCGCCCAGTGAATGGTCAGTAGAAAAACGGTAATTGGAGGGAGAGGGAAAACAGATTGCAAAATCAAACAGAGATTTATATTTAATTTTTAATTTTATTCTTTATTCAATTCAAATTAAATATGTTTATTTTATCGATTTGTTCCTCTTTTTTGTTTAAAATCTATAAATCGTATTTGCTATCAAAAATCACATCGTTCTGCTTAAAATACAACTGATGTCTTGGTCCCGTTGTGTGGATCAATCTAACACCTGTCATTAGTCTAGCTTAAAAATCTATTTTAGGCTCGTGGTGTCGTGTACGCAGTTATTCCGTCCGAAATGGCATGTTGATGTTCTTGTGTTTTATTTGCATTGCCAAAAGATGCTAAAAATCAAACGACCATAAATGTCATTAAACGTATGGAATAATAGCGCACCCACACCCATCGATTTTAAAATAAACAATCCAAGTGTGGTTAAAAAAAGGAATAAATCATAATTCAATTTTCCAAACATTTGGAATACATTTAAAGTACCTTTCAATATCACAAAAGATACACACACAATCGAGCGAAAAGAAATCGTTTACGATTTTTTTCTTTGCATTGTCAATAATAATTTGTGTCAATTGTCGTCGTCCGAATGCGAGCACCGTACAAATGTGACATATCACAGCCATAGAAATGCAAAGCACGCACTTCTATTTGCCAATGATTCCATATTCGGTTTCGACTGCGACGCACGCATTGACTTTCATTCTCATTTTTTGTTAACAAACAAACAAACAAAAAATACATATTTAAAACTAATAATACCTAGTTACAAGACACAAGAAAAGAAAAATAATACATAAATGTGCGCTGACTATTTACAAATGAATGAGAGAAAATTATGAATTATTTTTTGTCAAAGAGAATTTCGCAAAAAAAAACAATACAGAATGAATTTTGATGGTAGTTATGAAATGGGTCTGAGTGTGTGTGTGTTTGTGTAAATAGAAAATAGAAATCATTCTTGGTGCTCCAAGAAACAGGTCGACTGACAATTTTTGCTCAATTCTACAAAGTGTGTCGACGCAGCGATACACGGACGACATTTTCTATTCGAATGCAATTTCATACCTCCGAAAACTAAAACACCGACCGATCGCCACTCATCGAGTTGATTTCCAAATAACAAATTATTGTCAATCGGCAACATTGTCATTTATGAAAACATTCGTTCGTTTGTTCGTTCATTGTTCTTTTTTTTGGTTGTCAAAACAAAATGGAAAATTCCGAATTTCGACCAGAAAAGTGATTGTGCGGTGGAATTTTAGAGTCGATCATTGGAAACGGTTTATCGAAAGAACAGTTGGATTCACAACGAAAATGCTCTATGCGTCTTTCTGTTATCGTACCTTAACATTCCAATTCGAATGATTGACTTCTTAAAAATCCATGGCCAACACCAAAGCTCGTGCGATTTTCCTGGATATTTCTCATGATTTTTTCTTTCTCTTTGTTTTGGACTTTTCATATTCTTTTATATAAATTAAATAAATTATTTTACTAAAATTAAATGTTTAAGTAGTTATTATTGAGCTAAATGTGTGTTGGATGTGTGTTTGTGTGCATGTTAAAATTATCATCTTTGTTGGGTTTGATTTTGTGCGATTATCTAAATAAATGTCGAACATCCAAAATTGGTTTAATGTTGATTTTTCGGTGTTCGTCTTGTGATCGTTCGATAGTTTGTGTAAACGGATGAGTCTGGCATGATGCGTGCTCTTGATGCTTGAGCAATGGGTGCCGGTGCGGCTGGAGCTTCAAGGCGTGTTGATGGTTGTTTTGACATTGGGAAAAATCCCGATCCAATTGTCATCGCTTCACGATCATCATCGATTGGAAGTGGTTTGGTTTTGTCTTCATCGACTGGTGTACCATCCGGTTTAACACGAACAATCATTGGTCCAATTAGATAATTTGATGGTGCATTTACTGCTGGTAAATCGTATTGAAAATCAATGTTCGTTGCAAATGGCAAATGATTGGCTGGCTCTTCGTAACCATTGTTTCCATATGACATATCCATGTCCATGCCATAGTCAACTTTCTCAGGTTTATTTTGTTGTTTTGGCTTTTCTTCTTCATCGTCCATACCATCAAACAATGGATTACGTTCGAACAGGCCGGTTGGTTGACGAATTGGAGCTTTTGTTGTTTGTTGCTTCTTTGCTTGCATCATTGGATGTCCATCCATAATCGAGTCCCAGACTAAAAGAGAAGATAAAAGATTATTAGAATCCATTTTTGAATTGAAAATAAAAGCAGAAAAAGGTGAAGAAATATTTATTAGAAGGAAATCATTAGAATCGACTTAAAATCCAAAATAAATCAGTAAAAACACTCTTTCATCGAAATAGCGTCAAAAAATGAACACGCTTCATTTTAGCGAACCCTCAATTTAGGTCATAGCTCAGCATATTGCATTCAAAGTCAATCAATTTTAATTAAACTTTTTTTTTAATTAGCTATAGCGAGAAAGAAATTGCACCCAGCAAAGTCAATGAGTTCAATGTTGACATGCAAACAAATTTACGTGATATTATATGCTTTGGGCTTGGCCCGCCGATAATTTATACCGATAATTTTGCACACACACTCTCTCTCCCTCTCTATCTCGCTAATACAGAATCGTCTGATTGCGTGTTATTTTCGTTATCGATTATGCTCAATTTACCTACTTAGGAAAATCGTAAAAGGTGAATGCTATTTTTTCGTCGTTGTTGTTGTTGGTGTTGCTATTCTACTCTCTGTCATAAAATCTGTTACATTCAAATCGTAATTTTTATGACGTTGTTTGGTGCGAGCATGTGTGCGCGAGCGCGAGAAAATTGCAACACTCAATTTCCATTGTATCTGCCGTACAAGCAAGGTTACTTCCCAATAGCTAAGTATCCTTCCGTCTGAATTCAAACAGTTTCAGTTTCTCATAATATTCAATGCAGTGAAATAAAATTGAAACTTATCTATTTCCATGATCAAGTTTTATTGCGAGAGAGAAAAAAGAAGAAGTGGTTTGCCCGTGTGGCTATAAAGTATCTTAGTCTTGGTTTAATTCTACTTTTTTTTATGGATTTTCCCATTTTTTCCCGTTTGTTCGGTTTTTTTTTTTTGCATCGTTGCAATTGTTTCGAAATTTCACAATTGGAATGCAACCAGAATTACATGCACACCGATCGCACAAATAAAAAATCGGTGATGCGCTTGTGTGGGTGAAGCTCAGATATTTACACAAAAATAGAAATCAAACTAGTCTGCCTGAAGTAGATGAGGGAACATCAGATGCACTCACATCGCGCGCACTTGTTCAAATGTGTGATAAATGAGCGATTTAGCGATTAAACCGCATTCAAGAATCATTGCACATACGAATGCGGTGGGAGCGAAAGTGAGAGCGAGAGCGAGAGCGAGAGCGAGACCGAGTGAAGGAGAAACACAAGTCTCGATTGCATTTTAAAATGCAAAGGCCGCGTTTAAGTCACGATTTATGAGTTTAATTTACAATTTAATTGTTATTTTGTGTTGAAGCTGCTGTTTATAAATACGCTTTTTTGTGTGTTTGTGCCTTGCTATTCTTGTTGAATTCTACACCCTTCAACCGAAGCACATTCAGTCATCAGTTTGCTATTTTTGTTGTTGTTGTTATTTTGAAATATTTTCGTTGAACTGGATGCGTAACCAATACAATTGCAATGGGATGTCATAGTGAATAGGTTGCCATAAATCAGAGCCATGACCATTGTAGACGACACATGAGCAGCATCTGCCAGTGCAGGTCGCGCTTGTGTTGTGTGTGCATTCTAAATCGCAGCCCAGCTCGCTCGCTTACATTCATGGGAAAACAGGCGCATTGAATTTGATTCCGATATTGTGTGTCTGTGGTTATTTATTGGTACTGAACACTGGCTCGGCTACGATCGCGAACCGATTAAATCGGATGAGAGCGGATCTGATAATATCGTCGGCTGCAAACTTGGTTGGACAAGCATACAAAATGCCAAAGCCCAGACGAACGGATAAAATATGTATATATATAAAAATGTTTGTAGAAAATTACTTAATCTGACACACAAGAGGCATCGCATTCTAAAAATAGAATATTGCATCGTGCATTAAAAATCGCAATTAGTAATTGAAATTGTGCTTTCCGTTCGTTCGTTGGTTGGTTGGTTGGTTGGTTGGTTGGTTAGTTGTTTCTGTGATTTGTAATTAGAGACTCTCGATATGTTGATGGCTGGCTTGCATTACGATTGAATTTCTAGATTGAGTGTGAGAGCACGCTACGCGCATCGAAGTCTCTCGAAGCTTTCGAATTTGCTGCTCATGTTCGATTCGACGAAGAATGAGAAGGAAAACAGTAGAAAATTGAAGATTCTTGAATCTTCACGCTTCGGACACTTGGAATGCGGTTAAATAACGATGTACATTGTACAGCTCTTTTTTTTCGCCAGTTTCGTTCGAGAGAGAAAAAAACCCCAAAAACAATGGCTTGCACGAGAATAATGAATGAAAATTCAGTGCAAAAAAAATATCGGCAATGAACACATGGGTTAGATAAATGTCGGCCGATTCGAAATGGTTTGCCGTGAAACCAAACCAAAAAAGACAGTACATGCAAAGAAGAATAGTGCTGGATTAATTTTGTCTCGGAGCCGACGCGACGATGCACGTAACTGAATGAACAACGAAGACGAAGATGAAACTAAACCGTGTGCTAGAATAAAAATGCCAACTGAATATTGGCTCATCATGACAAAGAGCGTCGCAAAATGTTGCAACTAAGCATGGAACGGATCAACGTGTTGCATACACACCATGTGAGATCGAACGTGCCATGTTTTATTTGTGCTCAACAAAGACGATGACGGCGGAGGCACCAGTGGCTACCAACGCGCAACTCGAGCGTGTACGCTTCGCAAACCCATTCGCATCATCATCCAACAGAAACAACGAAAACATCTTAAAAGCAGATGATTAGATAACCAGCGGTAAACAAAAATACTCATCAACCACAACGAGAAGCGAGAAAAATAATAAAATAAACGATGAAATAATGCGGCAATGTGTTACATTTTAACTTGATTGCGAACAACAATGCATCTCTTGACTTTCCTGTTTTCAGCTTTCGCTGTTGTGTCGGACAACGACAACGACGTTTCATTTCAAAATTCTGCGAAAAATTTATTTACTTCTCTGGTTGAATTATGTACTATTTTAAGATGAAATTGTTCGAATTTGCATAACAGGCAATCACGCGCATTCGGATCAATATGCGCCATTATTTTGAGAAGAAGACAACCACAAGCGAAAACAAAACGTCGCCACCACCGCCGCCACCGCAGCGCAAAAAACACAATCATAATTTATTTTTATGAAGTTTAGTGTCAAACAAAATGAGGTGACTGCTGTAAGGCATTCCATCGGAAGAAGTGAAACTATCCGTCATGCATTGGCATGATTTGCGTGGCTAAATGCCGCTTTAACACATATCATCGAAACAAAATCGAAGGAAAATTAAAAGTGGTCATCATCAATACGAAAAGTCCAGCCCCGACAACCAAATAAAAGTGAAGATGAATTGAACACCATTCGAGCTCATGTGATTTATGGATTCGCTTATTTATGTGTTTGTGTTCATTTTCCATATATATATATATATTTATTCCACGTTAAAGAGGTCATCTTCAAAAAACTATTTCGAAAAATGAGAAAAAAAATTGATACTTACTTATGTCGTTGGCACTACGTTGATATGGATCCATGGCATCCAAATGTGATTCGTTCATTTTCTCCAATTTGGTAACACCAAACGTCAATAAATCGTGTTTGCATTTTGTAACCGATGGGTCTCCGTTCGATTTACAATATTTGCTCACTTCTTTTGCAAACATCGAGTATAAATGTGACATCTGTGCATTGTGTATGGGAAGAATTCCGGGCGAAAGTCCGACACACACACACCGAGAGAAGAAAAACAATGAGAAAGAAAGGAAACAAAAATAAAGTGAAAATCGATTAGTTTTACTTGTGGTTGGATATGTTTTTTTCTTGTTTTGTTTTGTTTGTCACTATGTTGTATGTGTTCCTGTGTGTAACAATTTGACACAATTGACGATTGCGGTCGATTGCTTCATCGATCATATTCCAAATTCATACGTTTAAAATCGTGTGTACCATTACAAATATTTGAAATTTGCTTATGGAGCAATCCGTTTTGCGGGCATGTTTTGCCGCATAAATAATGCATTTATCGATATGGTCACACTCTGCGGTCGCATCATTCTCATCAAAGACTGACGGTGTTTTTGTTTCGTTGCTTTTTTTCGGTTGTTTGAATTTCTCTCTCTCTCTCTCTCTCTCTCTCTCTGGTGTAAAATTATGTAATGGCATGTGTCGCCTTATTTTCTGCCTTTGCAATCATGCACGATACACACAACGCGTGGCATCGGGAATATGCGTATCGTATCTCTACGCAATATCTGCGTTATATCAAAAAGCGCAATCGATTTCAGCGACACACAGAGCGAGAGAGAGAGAGTGACACATTCAGAAAGAAACCCGTAGTCGTAGTCGTAGTCGTCGTCGTCGTCGGCTAATCATGCATCCAATGTAATTTTTTGATTATATTGCCAATTGCAACCGAGTAATTACCAATGAAATGAAGAAGAAATCGAGTAATTTAGCAATAATCGGTATAATCGCCCTCAATGCGGTTGCTGTTGCCATTGCTGTTGGCTCAATAAGTGAGTGCACGCGCACGCATATGGAAATTTTCTTCATATTCACAACGAATGAAAACCTTCAATAGCACGAAGAAACACAAAAAAATCTGCTTGTGGCGATATTTGTCAATATTGGCAGCTAGTGTGTGTCGATCTGCCTCCAAACACCATAATTACGCACAACGAAAAATTAACTCATTCATCGCGCATACAAACAGGCTGGGGCAGGCATGCAGGCGGGCAGCAGCGTTTGTACACATGTTAAAATACAACGAAAAGCCATTGCCCAAACGTTCAATTTGGTGAATATTCAAAGTGTGCAAAATAAACTCACACACAAAAATCAATTCAAAAAGCAAAATGAAGCTTTAATTTGAATAAACAGGTAGATTGGTGCAATCGTTATTGGATAAAAAATAAATTAAAAACGAAGCAAACGAAAAACAACAACTCCATTTCGACAATGTATGCGCAAAGCCGAGCAAATGAAGACAAAAAAAACTACAGCCAAATTCCATATGCTCATCAAAAAAAAAAAACTTAGAAGCAAATGTAATATTAATTGTTTAATTGTCGATAACATATTTGTTCGTGGTTGTTTTTGCGGTTGTTGTTTCTTCATTTGTTGCAATTCATTTTACAAATGCATACACAGACATTTTGATGATGGTTTTGGCAGTGCAATTCACCGACGCTCGATTATACACCATTGACGCTTCCAACTCATTTTTCTAACGATATTCGGAACGGCGTTGATGGTTTTTTTTTCGGTTTTGTGCTTTGCATTGAATTTCTGTTCGATGCAGCACTTTTGTATTCAGAGTATTGTGTGTTTTTTTCTGTGATTTTTATCAACATACACACACACACACATACAAAAAAAAAACACAGATCCTTTTTGATCAAATGCAAACATGCTTCAATTTTATGGTTACAACGTGATTAAATGAGCATAGCAACTGTTATAAATGCATACGTTTTGTGAAGCAACAACCTATTACATTCGTTCAGTATTGATAAAAATAATTCACAGTAGCGCGACCAGAGTGTGTACATTATTATTCGCATACCGAATTCAAAAATTTAGTTTTGCAAAACAAATGCAACGAACAAAAAGCAACAGCTCAACGGCAGCTTAAAAACGAAGTAAAGAAAAAAAGGTAACGGCAAACCTTTTAAAAATAAATAAATTCACTCAACAAGTAATTTTTATTATTTGTTGGCTTTCACATAGACACCGACGCGTGCGCGTCAGCACGTACATGGAAAATCGCTAGAATTACCACACACACAAACGTGAACAGCAACAGCAGCGAAAAAAAATCCAAAACAATTCAAACGAAGGAACCAAAAATTGTAATGCGTTTGCAGTTTCAATGTTTTTGTGGCTGCACATTCATAGTTCACATTCACACCGATTTATCGCGATGTTTTTTTTTTTGGTTTGTGCGGCTCGTTGTTTTTGTTAAATGTGCAAGCGCATAGAAAAAAAAACAACAATGAACAATAAACAAAAAATTAATATCCAAAGCAACGTCTCTTTGGGCTATTGTCTATGTTTCTAGAGCTTTCGCTTCGACATTTTTGTTGCATTGGTTTTGTTGTTATTGTGCGCGAGTCGGTGTGCGTGTGCGCGTGCGCACATTGGTTCAATAGCCAAAATCAGCGTTGATGAAAAGTGCTTCGTGTGCGCGCAACAATTCATATTTTAATTGTTTCGACCGTTTTACCAAAATGCTTGCATTTATCACACTTGCGCTCATGTCTTTGTGCTTTTCCCAATGGGCGCCGACGTTTTTTCTTTTCTTTCTTGAATTTGTTTTATTTTTTTTTTCCAACAATTTACTATTTTTTTTATCACATATACATGAAGTGAAAATCATGGTACTGCATTGCACTGCAATCGACATATACGCGTAGACAAGTAATGTAAACAGGCAAGCAGCAGCAAGAAATGGAGAGTGAGAGAGAAAAAGTGGCCAAACCGCTAAGAAGATATTTAAAAAAAGCACACACATTGTAACCATCGTACACAATACCATTTGAATATTGTATGCAAGATTAGTTAAAAAAAAATGGACACATTTCGTGTGTGAGGCGAGTTAGTTGACGATTTGGTTGCATGCCACATGATCATTCAATGAGGAGAAATGCGAATCGACCTCGTCGGTCATCGGTACACACAAACACACACACACACTCGGACACTCACATGCTTGACTAAAAGCTTTTTCGTTGGTTTTGTATTTGCGAGAGACAGTTCATGTTTTCCTTTAAATACCGAAAAATAGCCGTAAAAGCAATGCCGATGAAAGGCACAATAGTGAGAAAGAATGAAATAAAATTATATTTATATAAAAACGACGCGTAAAAATTAAATAATTAAACAATAAATCCGAGGAGCGAGTGCATAAAATGAAATTCGGAAATCGGGCAAGTTGTATTTTCGGCGTACATAGGTAACATTGTAATTGGCTTTATTTTGTGAGTGACTTTCTGGTTCCGTTAATTTTTTTTTATTTCTTTTCGCTTGTTTATATCTCTCACTTAGCATTTCACCTACAGATTTTGTTTCTTTTTTCGTTCGTTTGCTCATTCACTTGCTTCGTTCACATTGAATGGTGCAGTATTTCATCTCATTTTGACTTTAATCATAACAATTATCTCGTTGTTTGCACATTTCTTCTTTTTCTGCTGCTGCTGCTGCTGCTGCTGCTGCTGTATGGCATTCAATGGCGGGGTATGGATTTTTATCGCACGTTTTTAACCGCGCAATGTCGTGCCCAGAAGAGAAAATGTATCAATGACAAAAACACCGAAACGAGAGACACACAACTCTCAACCAGATTCAGATGCATGCATAGACACAGACCGATCGAGATGGAGAAAGGAAAACCCGAATAAGAGAACGAACTTGAGAAATGCTGGCGCGCGTAGATTTAACATTCGAGCGGAATCAAGCTTACTCTCATATTACGTTGCATATTTTCGTTGGTTGGTGGTTTTGTTGATGTGTGTTGTTGTCGTTGTTGTTGTTGTTTCTTTTTTTTTATTATTTTTGTTGCTCTTTCATTTCGTGTGGCTTTCAAGTCACAGCAGTCAATGTACAAGGCAAATCGATAGTGGCCTTAAACATGAACTGACTCTGAGTCGTTTTGATCCATACACATACCGCTGAGAGTGTATCGATCTAGATATTGCTGTTTATTTTTATTATTGTACCAATTTTAATACGAAACATATGAGTATATTGATCTCTGGTTCGATAGACGCACAGACCGGACCCATGAGCAGCAACAAAAAATCGACTGTATTCGTCGACGATTTTGTTTTTTTTCTTTTCAAATGTGTAATTAATCTCTGAACCGATGAGTTATCACATTGAATTGAAGAACCAAAAAGGGCGCATTTGAATCAATCCACATCATCGCTCATGCGACCATCGAGAGTACGGTCGAATGTGAACATAACGGATAATGGTATGTTTCACACCATTTTCACACGTTATTGCGTCGCATCGTCGGCTCACTCGAAAATTGATTTCACAAACAACAAAAGCAAGAAGAGGTAAAAAGCAACAACTCAACTAACCGCAGTTGTTAAATGAAGCATGTGTGCAAATTGAAAATGGAATGCCGCCAAAAAGAAAGAAACGAAAGAGAGCAGGCGAGCGAGCGAGCGAACGAAAAAAAAAAATCAAGAGCTGAATAGAAACTCTATTCATACGCGCTACATCTCGATTTCCATCTAGCCGCTATGATCGCTATCGTGCTGAAATTATAAACAGAGAGCCCAATTGAAAATGTGCTGCAATTGAAATCTCTCTGTTTGTATATCCATATGGGTTCTATGTGGCAAATGCGAAAAAATCAGCAGCAGCAGCAGCAGCAGTTAGCAAACGATTGTGTTTTAATCATGTGTTTATAACGGTTTAAAAATTTTGCTCTGGCTGCTGTTGCTGCTGCTGCTGCCGTAGCAAGCAGTAGATCTTCTTTGTTTGGTTTGTTTGCCGGCCATGTTTGATGCCGGGATTAGCACTGCTCATTTTCGATCAATTTAGCGATGCAGTGCGTGCGATGTGTGATTTCGGTTTCGGAAAATCATACGATCCATCGGCAAATCAGCACATAATCTCTCGCCACCACACTCTGGGTGTGTGTGCTTAACATTTGTGTTCTGTTTTTTGTTTTGTTCGTTGCGTTGCTTTTTGCGTTGTACAATCAGTGTAACAATTGCATTCAGAGAGACACGAGCAAAACAATTAAATTGAAATGAAACGACTTATTTACCATTCAACTAACTCAGTCTAATTGTAAAATGATTACTTCACATGAATGAGAGAATTTTTATGTGGAGCGCGAGGGCGCGCACACATATTCATTCGCTCTCGGTCGAATGCAAAATGCGACGAAAGAGAAAACTATACGAAATGCGCGTACTTCGTGCGTCTAACTGTGAGTGTCTTGCACGTATATATGTATTAATGAAATTACTAGCGACCAAAACAATAATAACAAAACAATAACATTTGCAGCATTTCAAACAAATAAGTAATTATGCAAAACAAATGCGATTTATATTCATGGCAAATGGCAAATAAATGCTTCAGATTTTTTTTTCTCTGTTCATTTTTTTTTAGAATAATTGTGCTATTTTACGTGTTATTGTTGATGTTATTGTGGCTTTCGGGGTAAAATCTAGCATTTATTATATTTATTGTATGGAATGAGGCGTTTCGAATGTACCATCATCAATCGTACCAAGTCATCGCCGCACGGTGACAGAACAATCACCATATTATTTCCAAGTTCGAACCAATGTGTATGTGTTTTGTATGTTCAATAAAACCTTTTAATTGTTTGGCTTATGGAAATGACACAACAACTATCCAGTCTATCTCCGGTGGTGCGATGAATCATCGAAAAATGTTGACCACAAAATACAAACTGGAATGACGATGGCACAATGCGTAAACTGATGCCGAAGGAAAAAAAAAACCTCAACCGATGCTGAACAAAAAAGCGGATGAGCCATCTCATTGCCTGGCATTTGTACGTATTTTTTTCCCTCTTTCTCTCTGTCTTATGCAAATGTTGAGTACATTTCAATTTCAAGTATATGATCTTTTACCGGATTGGATATTGTTGCCAATAAAACGAAAATGGAAGTGTGATTTTCAGTTTTGTTTCGTTGTTCGTGTTTAACTCGAATTTTGTTTCGTTTTGTGGTTGAATTGGTGAAGATGACACCAGGAATCATACACATCACTTCAATAGCCTTGACGATTTGCGCGCGTACGCATGAAAAGTGCCAATAATAAGTGCCATTGATTGTGCGATTCGATTTTAAATCGCGGCAGAACACGAAAGAATGAATTAACAATTATACACAAAATTAATGATCATTGGAATGAGAACGCGTGAAACTACTTAACTTGAAAAAAAAGAGAACATAGTAACAGACTGTGAAGAACAAAACAGCAAAAAAAAATGGCACTATTTCACTTACCTTTTCAGTACGACCAAGGAATTCCCACATCGGAATGGCAGAGCCGGAACACATTGACAACAGTGTTGTCAATACGGCAATCGAATAAATTATTTTAACCATCTTGGTATGTCGCGCCTCTCCAAATATTCTCAAAAAGTAACCGTTCACTTTCTTCTAATTGTGAACAAGTGTCGCGATTTGCAACAACTTTCTTGTCCCACTGAATTGGTTTTTAAATTCGGCCACACGATTCAACGAAGAAATTCAACAATTGTCGGTGATTTTGTTTGTTTTTTTTTCGTTGCTTTTGATTGTATGATTTCTCTTCAAGTGTATTTTTCTTTCTTTCTCTCGCTCTCGATGGCTCGTTACTTTTTAATAACTTTCGATCAGATCAGTTTAGCTGCAATTTTCTTTCACTCGGGCGCACACTGTGTTCGATATAGATCTGTTTTCGTGTTCTGTGTTCGAATACTGATGCTGCTGATGCTTTTTAAATTTCTTTTCTTTTTGGAAAGGTTCGTTTCGTGTTTTGTATATTCTTTTATTCCCAAACGTAAAATTTAGTTCCGGTTTTTCTCTCTGTTTTTTTTTTCGTTTCCAAATTATCACACAATAAACAATAACAATGGAGAGAGAAATTAGTTGCCAAAAACAAAAACAAAAATGATAATAATCGGCGTTCAATGTTTATAGTTTTTGCTTCATTTCACGTAAATCACGTTTTTGATTTAGTTGGCTTTATCTTTACCTTGGCACTTATGAAGTAAAAATTTTGAAGTAACGAAAATGTGTTTCGTTTAGAAAAATAAAAGGCGATATTCGTTGGTTGTGTTTTCAGTTGAAACTTTCGTTATGGAATGAGTAACCGCATCGAAAATCGCACAACTTTATATATACAGACGATCGGCTTTGCTACTGACGTCACACAACAGCAACCGCCACACACACAATACACGTACATCCGCCAGTGTGCTCTCTGTATCGGCGCTCGCATGCTCGCATGGAACGGCGACGGCGACGGCGACCGGCGACCGACGCACGCTTATTCGCTCGCCATTCATTTCAATACTGTTTCGAAGGTAGACGCGAATAAAAGCGAGCAAAGAGAAGAGCGCAATTTTCGTGTTGCGATGATAAAGAAGACGACGATGACGACGGCGACGACGCCGAAATATAGTAAATCAACAAAGAGAAGCAGCAGAAGCGGCATCAACAAGGCGGCAATGACTGTGTTAAATTATGAATTTTTCAATTCGATCGGTTCGGGGCTTTTTTTTCTTGCTGGAATTCTCTTACGTTACGTTATTGAATGATGATCACGATTTTTAAACAGTCAGATGAAAAAAATGAACATTTTTAAAAAAATTTACTCAAAAGAACAAATGCATGTCCTTTGTCTGTCTAACTGTGTTCACGCGCTTGAATGGTGGCAAGATACATCATTTTTCTCGATTACTTTGTTTTTGTAAACAACTCACGCATGCTACAGTAGGCGCGATATAAAGTGCAATTGAATGATAAATGAAATCTTCTCTCGATGTTTGACTCCGAATCGATGAATCAATGATCTCGCTGTTTCGATAGCCCGACATTCAATGCGAACGACTGTCAATAAACTTTTATGATGTTCTGCGGCTAGCAGTTCGGTCATATAAATCTGTTGCACATACCTTTTTTTTCTCTATTTTCGTCGACGTAATCGTCGTTATTCAACGGTTAATCGAATGTAAATGAAATTCAGTGCGATAAAGGGAGTTTGTTGGCCGAAGAAGTGAGCGCATAAATTCGATCTCTCTCTCGTTCGTTCGATCTCTTTCTCGATGTCGTGATTTACGAGTATAATGAGGAGAGGAGAAGAAAAAAACCACGCGCAAAGATGGCAAACACACACACACACACACACTGTGTGCGCCGTCCACAACATAACCGAAAATTTCATTCAGAGACTTGTCTCGCTCTTTCGTGCATAAGATTGATGTGTGTAAATTGCAATTTTCTATGGCATTCGGTTTTGGTGTAATTAATTTCGTAAAGTATGTTGACGATTTGGACTCAGCTGCACAAAGCTATGCACGTTTTGGTGTTGCAGTTTCGATTTTATATGTACATCTAAAGCATTGTGCGGCCACAGAGCCAGCTGTAACAAGATGATCACCATTGAGAATGCGTGTACGTCAAAAACCCATGGAGTACGAAACCGCAGCAGCCGCAACAAAACGGTTATTATGACTGAGAGAGAAGAGAAGAAAAGTATGACAAAAATGTGCGAAAAAATGCTTAAGAAAGTTGAAGATATGTTTATGCATATGGATAGAAAACTAAAGATCAACTGAAGAAAGATTGTCGCTCGCGGCTTACGTGCCCGATTGCATCGTGTGTATCTGTTACTCGCTTCGTTTTCATTCCGTTGGCTATTTCGTTCAAGTCATTATGCCATTTGCCGTGATTTCTAGAAAACTAATTTACTGTTATGCTATGGATCCAAAACATTTTTTTTTTCATTTAAAGTTATCGCAGTTTTTGCTCTGACTCTCTTTCTCTCTCTCTCTCCCTTTCGGGGCTCCGGCTCGCATTTTTCTCTTAAATATTTTATGTAATTATTTAATCTTGGGGAATATTTTGTCATACATCAAAATTGCACCAACGATCTCTGCACAGAGCGGTTGAAGAGACGCCCCATTGCATCGTATGTGGCCGCTTCGTATGCGATCTGTTTCGTGTGCTCTGTACCAACATCATGCTATGAGAGTGAAGAAAATTGGCTCTGCGACGCCGAAGAAATGAACGAAAGATGGAGAGCACAAGAGAATTTTTGTAGACGCCACTTTACGCCCGACCGATCCATATCGATCATTGAATCATTTAAGCCAGTTAAATCCGTGCAAACGGCATATTTCGCGTCAAATATTATTATCCCGATATGGTAGAATTAAATTAAAAGGAAGAAACACACCGTCCAATCGCTATTTATAGACATATTTAAGTTTTGTTAGTCGGTGTTGGACTGCTGGAGAGCAATGAATAAAGCGAGAAATGTGGAAATTTCCTGTGGACCGTGGGTGTGCAATAATCATATCATAATTTGTCACGTTTTACCGATTGCATCTCCCTCAGCGCAGCGCCCGCGCTCGCTGCACACGATCATCTTTGTTTGAAACCGAAACGAAATGAGTGTGTAAACACTACAATGAAGAGGAATGGAGGAAAACAAACCGCAAATTAAATTAAAATAATTGGTTTTTATGCGCCAGTCGCACATTTGAGAGAGTGCACGCTGCAATGACACGTCCGCGATAAAACTGTGTTTATCTCCACTCTCGTCGTCGTCGTCGTCGTCGTTGCCGTTTACCTTCGTCCGCAAATTGCATTTAAATGAAATATTAATTTCCTCTTTCGATTTGGAAAAACAGTTTATGCATATTCTTTCGTTGTATTTATTTTTGGCTCTTCCTCACGACACATTCTCCGTGTGTGTATCTTTTGCGTTGTTCAAGCCGTTTTTTTCGGGTGTTTTTTCTTTCACATCTTTTTTTTCTGCTGTTGTTGCTGTTATTCATTGGCGTTTTTATTTTTGGCCTTTCTTTCATGAACGACCATTTAGGCATAATTACACAATGTCCGCTGTTGCCGGAAAGATTTTGCGACATCATCATCTGGCGACAGTCAGATGCGATTGCATTCGCACGCGTGCCCATCGAAAGGAAGAAAAAAATTGCCATACAATCTCGACGAAGAAAATTATGTTTAATTTGAAATTGGCAAAGGGATTGTCATTGAATCGATTGAGCATAGTTCAAAACAGCAGCAGCAACACCAGAAGCAACACCAATCAGCGGCGCTGATGGTAGTGTAACAAATTGGCCATATATATGTAATGATAATGTGTTCATTTAGCAGAAATGTACCGTTAGATTCGTTTGTTCAAACGAGATGAGGAAAAAGGAAATTATGCGGCATTGACCGTAGGCGCGACACAATGTCGATACCCACGACACGATCGTTTTTATTTTCTACATGCAGAAAAGGGGAAAAAAAATTTAAGCGCCAAAACATTGCAAAATCCAATATGATTATACTGTTACATGCAACGCTCGACTCGTTGCAATTTGAAATGATTGAATGGTCGCCGTCTGCCGTTACAACGATTGGTACTGCTGCCGTGGCTGCTGGTGTCATTTAGCAGTATTTGCATTTATTCTTCGCACTGACTTTGTCTGTGCCACTCATTTATCATTCACCCACTTATTTGCACATTCTTTTGCATCTGTCGCGAACGCATAATATCTGCGCTTCGTGTCTTAACATTCCATTGTCTGATTCGAGGGACCGTGGCAGATTCACATTCCAAAATAAGAAATGTCCATGATCGAGAGCCCGATTTCAGTGTTATGGTTCTTTTTTTTTGTTCGTTCGTTCACTTTGGAATGTGTCATTATGACATCGACGCCATATATGTATATTTATTTTTAGCTTGAAGCTTAGCGAATCTCTTTATGACTAAGAAATCAGCTTTTTTCACCGTTTTTCGTGATTTTGATTCTTTTCCTTCTGTTTTGTTATCGGCGTTTTTTTCTCAGTTGCACGTTCGATTTTAATTTTTATTTTAAGAACATTGATGACTCTATTAGCTTAATCGATAGTACCACCGAAAAAACCTTTTTTCTCATTTCTTCAATTTGTTTTTTTTTTTTCGTCGGTTTGTTTATTTGTTTATTTGTTTCTTACTTTGATGTTTTCGTTTTTCGATTCTAACTAGAAATTCCATTAGAGATTATTTTGGCTCTGGTACGCCTTATGAATGTGAATGTAAATGATTTCAGGTGAACGAACGAATGAATCCACATTAAATGTTCTAAATTCGGTTTATGTACACAAATGAACGGAAATACAATTTGTTTCTATTTCGAAATAGATATGAATTTTTGGTATGATCGCTGTTTGTGCCTTTCAGAATAAATTCTGTTCAGTTGACGCAAAATAGAAAATTGTTGAAAGAATGTTTTAACATTCAACAAAAATTTGTTTCAATAACATTGAGGACCGATGATTGGTTGTTTGTCGATAAAAATTAAAATAGCTCAAATGTCGCGATAAAGTCATTTTGGCCAATTGTGTGTGTGATAAATATGCTTGGAATTTTGTTTTGATTTTGTTGAATGTGACAGAGACTCGTTTTTTGCGTAAATTGAACGCACAGTGGTGCATAAGAGTGGCGCCGTTAAGTAACTTGCCCAAAAAGAAACACACACACACACATATCTCTACAGGTATGCATGGTTCGATGTACAAGAGCTGAAACGGTAGCATATAGTAATGAGCATACATGATGGTGATTATGAAGCGTATCAAATGCACAACGTACGGAGAAAATAAAGTACATTGGCCGCATAATGAGCCAACTTAATGTGGTAATGCATTTGTTTGTTTAAGCGATGATAACTTTTCGTTTCGTTCCTCTCTGTCTCACTCCTACCGCTTCACTTCCCCGAAACCAATTTTCGCTCAAAATGGTTCAATGTCTAATTTTTGGTTCGCAAATTAAACATTTTCATTTTGGCTCGTGGTCGATTCTAAGTCATAAATTTTCGGCTTCTCTTCTTTGGCCGGTCATTTGTTTATTTCGATTAGAAAGGCCAAAGTCAAAGTAGAACAGATTTAGAAAATAAGATAACGTTAGGAATGAAAAGTGCCCTGATTAAGCGCGCTGCTGCGCATTTAGTTCATATTCGATCATCGCAAAATGCACGCTTCAAACGAACCGAACAAAAAATGGGACGTGATGGCATATGTAATTCAGGCGAATTGAACGGATTTCGGATCGATGAGAAAATCACGAATGCCGTGGAATCGCGTTTCGCACGTGCTTACA